TACGAAATTCAGTGATGGAGCGTCAGTACAACAGGCGGTATGGTGCCAGAAAAAGGTTTTTCAAAGTGGGCGATCTTGTGTTTGCAGCTGCGAATCAAGGACAGCGGATCGCATGGATACCAGGACGAGTCCTGCGGCGCCGAGGCAACGTGATGTATGATGTTCAAGTGGGTACACAGGTGTGGAGACGCCACGTAAATCAGTTGAGGCCACGTTATACACATGGTGCCGCCGTTCCGAAAGCCAACGGACTTGACGTCAATGAATTGCTGGACACAGACAAGCCCAGTACCCCTGCAGGTGGTGACGTTAGTCCAGTGGAATGCCGGGAAAATGGAGCTCGCCACAGGCCAAAGAGAACAAGAAGATTCGTGCAGCCCCTCCAAGTGGATCCGCGTCGAAAGACCTATGTGAACACCAGGTAACCCGTTTTTTTAAGAGAGGGAGGTATTGGAGATGAAAGAAAAACACAGTGTTTTCCATGTTTCAGAACATTTGTTACTACTGCTTGTTACATGCCCCTCACACGACCCGTGGTTCTTTCTGATCGATAAATTCAAATTAGCCCTCAGCCGTGACTGGGACTGAACTTTGTGTGTTTTCATACCCAAGCCGTGTTCTGCAAATATACCTCCTGTCCGGTGCGTGTCTTTTTTGACTCGTGGGGCGCAATTTAAGAAGTCGAACGCCTGGGGACACAACAGATTCCATGTAGCAATGTCGGTTTCTCAGAAAGAATATTCCAAATCTGTGCAGTTAGGTGTAACATGGCTGGAATTTAACCCCGTAGTCCTATGGACGAAAAGGAACGCGCATACGTAGCGTGTAACCGTTTTAATTGAGGCTTCTTCACAGTGGTCGAAACGAAGAACCAAGGTCAATGTCAGCTAATCATGTGAGCAGCCGTGATCGCGGTCGATACGAGAGCTGACAACGCGATCTCACTCTGATTGATCCTTTACACACATGCACGCACGCGTGCATACCCACAAACTTATCTTCAATCCTGGTAACTTGTATCACGTCAGATGTTGGGTACACTGTTCACGTCCTCACTGCCTTCTTCATTCTGGCCAAGGGCCGACTATGTACTACTAGGAGAGAGACGTGACACGCTCGTAACTGGTGTCCGCTTTCCTCACTGCCTATCATGAATTTAGATGAGACCCCCCATAAGCCTGCATCAGTCTAGCCCCGCTAGCTCCATAAACTGCGTGACCAAAACCGGGTGGCCTTGGTGGATCATCTCAAGATGCTTCATGAAGAGTTTCTTCTAAGTCACCTTTATTAGCTAACTGAAGTCAACGGCTCTCCATATGGTCGTAGATCGTAAAGGAAAACCATTGTATTGCCCACCCTCTCTCGTTCTCATCGTGCAACATTGCTCCAATCGGACGAATTGTTCAGTCATTTTCGACTTTTAGAACCCCGTTAACAGGCTAGTTTTCTCTGTGTGGTATTTTCCAATTAGATTCATTATCTTTTCCGATTCTGAATTTGTGTGTCGTGTACACGTGCCTGCTGTGCATTTGGTTATGTAATTTTCTAATTATCCCTATATCGGTCGGCAGAAGCAACATTTTGTGCACAGATATGCTACACTATTGGTAATGACGAAGCAAACTTCCTGTGGTAATTCTTGCAAAATTGTCGGACACAGACCAAATGCTGTTACCCGCGCTTCAATGTGTGTTGTGCACTTTCATATTTTATGCGCTGATCTGTTCATGGATCGATTCAGCACGAGTTGGTTCAAATAATTCGTACGGAGTATCAGAGTAAAAGTTAGCCTGAAAGTCGATAAACCTTACGAGCGAGTAAGCAGGGCTAAACATTCCACAGCGAGGAGATAGGTGTGTGCATCCTAATCGATGGATATGCAGCGAGCCAACTTGTTGCAACCTCTCCGGAATGATGTTCATCTACTACTGAACTCAGCTGATGCGTTACGTCCGTCCTACAGGCACTATAGTCCTGGAGTGCGATAGCGTAAACGATGTAAGCTAGTGGAAAACCCAAAGGAAGAAAGAGAGAGCAACTACTAACGAACAGAGGCGTTGTAAATTTTTGATATTTCTTGCGACTGAACAGACTGTTGCTGATCCTCAGGCATGTTAAAACCATGTTTTTACAGTCTGATGGATACAATCCCTGAAGTTAGTGAATAGGGGTTGAAGGTGAAACAAATCACCCGTTTTGGGAAGTGGGATGGGGAGGAAACTCAGGCCTAGGCGAACCATTTTCGTTGATGATGCTAGTCGGAGGTTAATAATATCCCGCCTCGGTAGACTAAGAGGGTTGAATATGTATAACGCAAAGCTTGTAACAGAGCACGCTGTTTACACAGCTCTGGTTTACACACTCTGATTGCGATGGTTTCTGCGATGACTAATATGTTTTTTAAGCTTCTTTGGGTAGCGTCTAGCTTTTCACTAAGGTATCGTTGATAGAAACTGTGAATTTCATTTGATTATGTGCCTGAAAGAAACATGGATGTTGGAATTCCAGCACGGAAACGGAGAGTATTGACCTTATCTTGCACTTACAATGTATAATTTTTGTTTGATAGGATCTAGTACCGACAGATCGATGGAATTGCAATGAGTTCTCCCTACGGTCACTCTTGGTGGACATCTTTCTCGCAAGGGCACCTGAATAACCTCATCGCTTCATTTCAATCTTACTACTGTTATATGGATAACACATTCATTGCCCGTGACTCATCCATAGATTACGTCAGCCTACTAGATCAGTTTAATCGAGTGCATCCCTCATTGAAATTCGCTAGTGGAGTCGAAAAAATGGCTGACTCACTTTCCTAGACGTTTAACCGCGCAGGCGTGAGAACCGAACAATCGAAAGAATTGTCTTCCGCAAAGGGACGTGGATAAGTAAATACACACACTCAGTTTTGTACTTTTGAGATACCAGCGAAATTTAGTTCGTTGTCTGTACCATCGCGGTAGGAAACTAGGTAACGGGTGTTCAGCTGCAACTGACAAAGATTCATTGTAACGTGCGCTCGATAGTATTAGTTATAAATGTTAAAGGCATTCTTCTTACTCCTTTCGTAAAATTTTCTCGTGTTTGTAACCCAATTGTTTTTATGTTTCTCCGAAAACAGATGGAAACAAAACGCGAGTTACATCTATTTTCTTGTACGAGTTCAAATTGAATCATAGCGCAGCTGACGCTTCGCAACATACAATTGCTTTTTTTACACCGTCATCACTCGTGATGAAAAGTGAATTTTGTATGATAATCGGAAAGCACACATCCCTAAGCCGAAATTTCATCAATAAAAATTTATGGTTATCATATGGTGGAATGCCAAAGGAGTAATACAGTATTCCTTCCTACAATTAGGCGAAACCATAACAGCGGAGTCCTGTTGCCGTAACATTGATGTCATGCATGAGAAACTTATGAAAAAACAACCAGCGTTGTTCAATCGAATCGGCGCAATATTACTGCATGATAACGCACGACCACATCAAGGTACAATCACAGATGACAAATTAACTTCTCTACAATATGAAAGTTTACCACTTCCTCCATATTCACCAGATATTTTACCGACCGAGTATTACCTTTCTCGTAATTATGAATTATTTTTGAGAGCGAAAAAATTCAGTAACCAAAATGATATTATAAAAAAGTTTGAATTGTTTATTAACTTTAAAAAGGAAGATTTTTTTCAAAGGCATATATGACTTGCTTATTCGTTGGCAGGAAGTCGTAGATGCCGATGGAAGTTATTTCGATTGAATATAATAAATAATGTGAAAAATGGTGCTTTTTGTTTTTATTTTTATTTAACGTCTGTTTTATAATTTCCAACCTAATATATATCGCATAGCAGCTACCAGCATTTAGGTAAAAAAGTTTAGAACCTAGGTTAGTAGTGAAAGCCAAAAGGGGCTTGGAAGAGAACAAACATCATTAGCAGCATGTCTTCGTTGATCCACCCAATGGCACGCAGCAGGGTGTAGTTGTAGATTGATGGCAACTTCATGCGAACGAACCTAGACAACAGAACTATTAGGATCTTCAACCAGAAACTTCAGCCAAAAAGCCTGGTCCCGCGGCAGCCAGATGGTAAAAATACGACTTTACATAAGTGGGTAGCACTCCAGTTCCAACCCCAAACTTAAATGCCCGGGAAACTGAGTTTGTAGGATCTGTAACCTCTCAAGAAGCTCAAGAGCTCCACTCAGTATGGCTCGTGGGTGGAAGAAGTCTGCAGACCGTCACACCGTATTAAGGTCCATTCTCGTTGCAATGGACAGCATCGTACCAGCCCTTGTGGTATCTAATGGGGAATAAGGTAAACAGTTCAAGACCCTCACATATCACTTACAGTGATGCGTAAGGAACACGAGAAAGCTGGCCGAACAACGAAATCGGTTTGATCTGCGTTGCCTACCCGGAAGAAAGCTATGCAGTTGACTACGCCTGTGTATAGAAACTCAGTCAAACAGCGAAAATGGGCAGTTAACTGACGCGTTTAGGTTACCTAGCGACTATTCGGGTACAGGAATCAATCACTTTTAAGCCGAATTTGAATATTAACTGCAATTTTTACACTATTTCACTAGCTTCGACTTCATTAGCATCGCATGAAGATGTTGGGTAACCCCATCAACGCCACCTCAAAACTCTGACCGTAGTGATCAAACCGAGGTTGGTTGGTATGGAGAGGAGTGCCAGCGGAAACAACTAGAAGTGGTAGCGCGACGCAAGCAATTGGGATAACAAACTGGCCAAACACAGACAGGAGCGGAATTTCAGTCCACTGTGCGCAGGTGCACCCCCCTCGATTGCCTACTGGACGAAGTGACTTAATCGAGAGATGGGAAAGTATCGCCTAGGTTGACGGGAAACGATGTTTTCATTAGGAATTTCGGGGTCAAACAAAAAAACCTAAAACCTATCGCAAGTATGTCCCACCAAAAAATCGTTAAAGAGATGAAGGAAGCATTTTGGGAAAGTTGGCTTACTTCTGTTGTCTAATCCGGAACTTTAGATCACCAGACTCTCCATCCAGATGGGGCTCTCCTTCTAAAGCAAACGGGTACAAATGGCCATCACGCATCCCCCGTTCTACTTCTAATTCTAGATGGCGTTCCACACGATGTAACCTACAGTAAAAAAGAAAAGAAAATACATTCCCTGAGGTCCATTCGAAGACTAATCTAGAGCAATAAATGAGGAATAGCAACTTGGCCTATGATAAAACACCAACAAGTAACTGAGGTGTAAACCATTTCGAACAATGCAGGTGGAAATATTGTTAATTTAAGTTTATACTAACAAACAAGTGGTAAGAGTATGAGGGAAGAATGCAGAACTCGTGTATATGGTTTAAATACTTACCTGAGGCCTACTGGAATACGACACAACAACGGCTTCGAGAATTTTAATCAGGAACGAGGAAACAGATCCAAAAGCAGATAATAAATCAGGAACTAGTCAAACTGCGCTGGTTATGACAGCCTGGCTAGCTTGCCGAACGACCTCACATTGGTGTCAGCTGCCTGGTTTAGGTATAAAACGTTCTATTAAACGGCTAGGCGGCAGTATTGTAGGACGTGTTAATTTTCCGTCTAGCAAGCAAACTTCATACAAAAAGCCACAAAGGTCCGTTCAAAAACACTGTAACCTGACAGATGTGGCGCGCCACTAAATAAAGTCACCGTCCGTTGATATACTCTAGAGCAGGATTGCACTCTAGCAACTGGACGCAATCACCGTGAGGAAGCTTGGGCCATTGTTTGGTAATATCAAGCAAACCAATCTATCTTATAGACTGCTTATATATATATATATATATACTGTATTATAGAGTAAGTAGAGATGAATTCTGTACAACTCTTTCGAAATATGGTGGAAAACGTTACAAAAATTGTAAGCCGTGAATATGGTTATCGTTTTCATGTAACATTTAGAATATCTGACTCACGGTAGGACTCACAAATGTGACATGTCATCGTAAGTGTGCAATGGTTCTCTGAATCGAATAGTGATAAAATATAACTAAAAACGTTTGAACTGCTACACAGATGTTGCCTTCATCACATGTTCAGGCAAACTGTTCCAAGTATTTACCACTCTCAGTTCGAAGCACAGTGAGTGGGGAACTCGCTTCACATCCGGCACCACAAGTTTGTATCTCTGTCCGCGTGTGCTGCATGGCACACGTAAGTCTTATTGGCTTCAGCATGGGGAGGTCACCGAGATGTAGAATACGGTAGGTCTTAATGAAGTCGACTCGAACCCGACGGTACGACTAGGTGTAGAGTCCTAGTTGCTCGCACCGGTCTCTATATCCCAAGCCATGTAAACTCCGGATGAGCCTGGTAGCAACGTGTTAGACCCGTTCGATCTTTTGTGCCTCGCCTCGCGTAATCGGAAAGTAGGCGGGCGAACCGTACTCTAGCATTGATCTGATGATGGAAGCGAAGAGGCGAGTGGCAACCACTTCAGACCATGTGCCGAAGCTACGTTTCAGCGCCCAAAGCAAGCGCAGTCCGTTACGCTATAGCCTGTTCGTGTTGTCCACGGACTTCAAACCGTAGCGCGAGAGTCCACCTAGGTCCTTCACGGAGGGTGAGAGATATAGCGGTTGGCCGTCAAGGGTGTAGATTCGGTCGTCAGCACCCTTCCCCAGTCTCATAAATACAGACTTGGCTGGGTTGACCGGGAGAAGAACTTCTGCATAACATATGGATAGGCGGTTGAGGTCTTGCTGAAGTACATCACAGTTGTCGGCAGCGTCAATTTCTCTCCAAATCTTCGCGTCGTCCGTAAACAAGGCACACGTCGACCGGAGAAGCTGAGGTAGATCGTTGATGTGGAGCTGGAGCAGAGTGGGCCCCAGCACGGTGCCTTGAGGCACGCCACTTGTAGAGGGATACCAGTCAGTTAGATGGTCGTCGACACGTACCCTCCACTTTTGTCCGACAACAATTCCGCAGATCCACCGATGCAGTGAGCGGCCGACACCACACATCCTGAGTTTGTGAAGGAGAACCTCATGGCTGACCTTGTCGAACACTTTACTGAAATCGATGAATATCACGTCGACAGACTTCCCCTTGCTTATTGCCTTCAACCACTCATGCCTCGTCACAAGCGAGTTTGTAATGCATGAGTCGCTTTGCATAAAACCGTGCTGTGCGAGCGTCAGGACCTCTTTTGACTGTAGAAACTCCAATAATCCCCTTTTTTACGATTTTCTCAGCAACCTTTGCCAAAATTGGTGTCAGACAAATTAGCTTGTAGTTGTCTACTTTGCTAGGGTCGCCGCTTTTCGGAATAGGCTTCACCATCGAACATTTCCAGTCAATCGGCAACGAACCTTCGGACAGCGACCTGCTGAAAAGACCAGTCACGACGGGAGAGATGGTGGTTGCCACCAACGCGGACGCACGCCCAGTCCTAGAGATTAGGTGCTGTCCATTCGGGCCATCCAGCACTGGCATATCACCTGCCGGCTTCAGGTAATCAAAGATTCTCTTTGGGGCGGTCTTCGCGGCGATTGTGAGCTGCTCTTCGAAATGTCGGCGCTTATTCCTTTTTGCACTGCTGCAGAGGTTCCGATGACTTTTATACCCTTGGTAGTCATTGGCAGAGCCAGAGAGGAGGAGTCTGTCTCGGTCTGTGCCGCGCCCGAGCCAGATTTCCATACTCCTTGTCAAACCAATGAGGCTTAATCAGTCCAACCTTCCGATATTTCAAGGGCACAAACTCGGAACACAATGATGCCAATCTTTATTGAATAAATATCCAACAGTCTTCCACAGATGCAGTTTGTGACAGAGACCAATTCAGTTGGTTTGCCGCACAAGCTAGACCATCGAAGTTCGTTTTCCATAGTTGTAAGCAGGTTCAAGCGGACGTGAATACGATAAAGATAATTCCATATCAACTATGAGCACTGAGTGGTCGCTTGCAGCCAGGGGCTCCAGGATCCGAACGTAACGCACTCGTTGTTCGTAAATCGTTAACATCAGGTCGAGACAAGACAAGGTTGAAAGTGTTGTTATGCGTGTTGGCTGGCATACGTGTTGCGATGCATCAGTTTCAAGTACTAAATCCACGAACTTTGCGTCAACCGCAGTATGTCCAGGCATCAAATGCACATCAGGCCATCGTATTAGAGGATAGTTAAAATCGCCCATAAGTAGAAAGTGTGGACGACTCATGTGGGTTCGAAGATGGAGCAGCCAATCCAAACAACGACTCAGGGGGCTGCGATAAACTGCGCCCGCAAGTAGTTCTCCGCGCCTGAGGCGGATGGAGCACCACAGTAGCTCACACAAACCATCATCACTTCGGTAGGTGCTCACAAGTCTCCCACGCAGGGAAGACCGGATGTAAAGCAAGACACCACCGCGAGCATTCGTTAGTCTATCGCATCGGAAGCACGGGTAACCGTTGACTTCAAGTTTCCGGGTGTATAACTCTGAATACAGCCATGTCTCTGCGAGTCCCACTACCTCTGGCCACTCAGGCGCAACGAAACAACATCGCGCTTGTTTATAAGACTGAAAACGTTTGCGAAGTCTACTCACAGGCCGCAGTAGGAACCGCCGGGCGTGTTTGAAGTGTGAGCAGACTGCTTATGCTGATTCGCAAATTCTTGGAATCTACCCGAAAATTTACGACATGAAGATTTGTTTCCCCTCACCAATACATCTTTTCAGCTCAATGAAGGCAGACTTGAGCCGTTTCCGGTCTAATGGGTCCAGATCTGGATGAACATGGATCTTCAAAGCTTTCAGCCTACTTAGGCAGGACATGATTAGTCTTGGACTGGCTTCATCCACAGAAGTAATTCACATGTGCCGATTTTGTTGATCACCTTGCTTTTCAAGAAGGGTAATTTGCCTCACTTTTACCGAGCCCTCACCAGCGTCGAGGAGTCTATCAACTAGACCCTGTAAAAATGACATCGTGATCGTAGCGCACTTGGGGTGATGGATCACTGGACTCCGGCACGTGGAAGATCACGAGGCTATAACGCCTCTGATCGGATGGGGTTGACCTCGCACGGCGAGTACATTACGAGCCTCACGTGGTTTGGTTAACTGTTGACTTACAGAAGTTAAACGCAAAACATCTCTTCTTACTTTCCTTCTTTGTTCTTTCCATTGGTTTACAGCACTCAGGCTTTCACCTGCTGAAACATCAGTGCCCGTTGGACACAACAAAGGTAAAAAGTTTATGCCAGGTGCAACTGGGCTTCTCACACCGGTCGGACTTCGTGTCGGCGAGTTTGCACGGGTAGAGGAGGAAGACTGAGCTGAAACCTGAAGATTCTTCGGGTTAGGTTGGTAAGTCAAACACACGGAGCTGTTCGCAACGGAATGATGAAGTCTACACGTCGGCTTTACTCTTCCTGGCTGTATTTTGTTTCGGCAATTTTCACATAAAGTTTGGACGAAATCGTGTTGGATATCACGAAGACGATGAAAATACTCAACTGATAATCTAACATATGAAATGTGGTATTTAACTTGGCTCAAAACACATGGGACGGCATTTGCACAGTATGCAACTATCGTGGAACAAGTACCACAGGGTGACTGCTTTGGCATTGTGAATAATCCGAAAACAAGATGGCAGCCAATTTCTGGAGAAAAGGGCGATAGCAAAATCGCCGAAATCAAGCGGTGAAAACATCAGTATTTATGGTCAAAAAATTAAGAATCAGAAATGAAACTGGATTGTACCTAAATTTCTATGAAATACTTTCAATGAACGAAGAAATCCAACAGAAAGTGATCGCGTCTACACAGCAAAATAAATAAATAAATAAATAAATAAATGGTACGTTTGCCCCATGTTGAGGCTGATGTTGTCTGCATAATGCGTCTTTACCGATAAACCAACTTACACCTAGACTAGGTCACTTTACGCTGGAAAAATTTCATTCCACCTTATTTGGTTTATTCTGTCTACCTGAATAATCCTCTATTAACTGGCCACGTTGCTTACGCTAATTGTGGTTATCTCCGTTAACTTCATTGCGTTCGTAGCATTTTTTGTATAACTTGTGGACATTATGCACTTATCGCGGATTCCTTGCCAACCAACTTACTTACACCGTGTGCATGGAACCACTTTTTGAGTCTAG